AGTAACTATAGAGAATACAATGGGCCTCATGCATGATGAGTGGGCTTAAGCAGCGACTCGATTTTCAATACCAATTTTTCTTCTTCGGTACAAAAAATGAGTCTGAGCTTAAACATGCATTTGGCCGAGTATTTTTGACAATCGTATTTTCTATGTGCTAATCCCGGGACCGCAAATAATGTTTAGTACCAGCTTGACCGAGCTTTGCCCGGAGTGTATATAATTTTTAAAGTTTCCAAGATTTGGATAGCTTTAAAAAAATATTTTAGAATTAGAAAAAAAAAATAGATTTCAATATCTATTAAGTAAATTTCTTACTCCAAAATTTAGGTGGCAACCCTATTCAGGAATACGCTGGAATAAATGCTACATATCTTGAGCGTATTTGTACTGTGTACACATAAAAAAAAATGATGATTGATATTAACAAAATAAAAATTTGTATTACATAGAAGCGTGGCAACCCTGATGGAAAATATTTTCTGACCAAAGTTCTCAACAGTACCTTTAATTTGATATCCATATTGCGATGTTTTAGATAAATTGTGTAGAATCGAAAATAAGTGGCAACCTTGCACTATTATCCTAAGGGATAATATTTTGTATATAGGAAAAACATTGCTTAAGAACCATCCGCTGGTACTCATGAATAGAAATATTTTACTTTTTTTCTAAACAAAAAATTAAACAAATATGCGATTCAAAAAATAGAAAATATGATTGTCAAAAATACTGGGCCATATGCATGTTTACGCTCAGACTCATTTTTTGTACCGAAGAAGAAAAATTGGTATTGAAAATCGAGCCGCTGCTTAAGCCCACTCATCATGCATGAGGCCCATTGTATTCTCTATAAGTTACTAAGCTCCAACATTTGTTCTATTTATTAACCAGATTACCTTTGCAAGCGATAGTCCGACTGTAAACCGCTTAATTATGTACTTTGAGCATCGATATTCGCGTAGTATTTTGCATGCATGTATGTATGTTATTATACAGAGTTTGAGTTTAATAATATTTATTAGTAAATAATCTTTCAAATCGATAAAACTCAACTTTGGTGGAGTTTGTATGCATACATGGATATATGCATGTATGGATGTACATATGTATGTACATTAGACTGCATCAATCCTATTATATTATTATCATTTATATTTTAAGACATGCGCCAAAATATTTCGGAGAAAATATTAAAATCTAAAAATTTGGCTTTTTATGAATAAAAATAGTTTTTTTAAGTATCACCTCAGGTGATGAAAAATTCGAATAGAAATATTTAAAAAAAAATTCTACGGAATCATAATAATGACCTTTTTATGCTGTTTTTGAACTTTTTTCAAAGATTGGTTCAAGATAAACTTGAATAACTAGCCAAAA